GTCGTCTCAGGCGCTGATAATTGGCGTCTATCTTGTGTCAGTGACGTAAAAGACAGATTTAATGCGACATGACCATTCAAACAGCAGTCGCTTTCTAAAACATCAGATATGTATCAGATTCAGTGCCACATACGAAAGTGACCCAGGTCAGATTTGAAAATATTGAATTTGTGCTGTTCACACTGTCATACTATGATCGGATATGGGTCGCATAGGGTCTAAAAAGTCGGATTTGATGCGCTTTCGCGTGCAGTGTGAATGCGTAGAGTAATTGTCCTGATGCTCTTGTGATAGAGGCAAACCTTGCGGTTCCGGTCAGGAGGCGTGCCACAGCATTCTGGACAACCTGCAACCTATGAAGAAGGGTGGAGTGGAGACCAAAGTAAAGGGAATTACAGTAGTCTAATCTAGAGGTCACAAAAGCATGAATTGGTTTCTCAAGGTCCCTGTGCGGTATGTAGTGCTTGGCCTTGGAGATTTGACGCAATTGGTAGAAACTAGATTTAACTACAGAGGATACCTGTTTGTCAAACTTAAACGAGCTGTCAAAGAGAACACCTAAGTTGCTAACAGTGCCAGAAAGAGAGGTGGCAAGGGGGTCCAAGAGTGTCAGCAAATTGGCCCCATGAAGTATGGTTGTCAAACAGCACGATAACGGAGGAGTTGCTAGCTACTAATGCTGCTTGTTCCTGTTCCCTGGCAGCTTATGCTATCGAGAGGAGATTGACCTGCTGGGTCAAGTTTCTCTTAAGGATGTGATCATGTGTGCACAGCATTTATACCCAGCTGAAATCCAGGCCCAATCTGATCCATCTCCCCATGTGATGGTCCGGTAACGGTCCAACCTATGTGCGTTAGAGCTTGCATGCATTGTTCCAGATCCAGATTGGATATCTTGATTGCACGAGCTGTACAAATACACTGTCTCCTTCAAGTCATACATGTCCCATTTCCCTATAGCTCTCAAATGTCTCGTACACTGTCGGAAGACATGGTTTGGATTTTCTTACAGATTGTTTCCATCAGCTGTCAATCACACCGGGTCTCTCTCACTCTCAGTGACTCTTTGATTACAAAGGCACAGAAAGAGAACTTGACGCTGACCAATTTTGATCACAGTCACCCTTCAGTGATTGCAACGTGAACCCGTGACAAAACTGAGCAGAGACACAGAAGTGATTGATGTGTTCTTCACTCGTGTCCGTGCCCTCTCTGTCCACTCTCTGCTTTACATGAGTGCTTACCATTATTTCTCATGTTGCAACAGATTAGTGGCTGCTTGCTGCTATTAACGCCACCAATCTGGAAGGCATTATAGCTGTTGACATTATAGATTGAGTCTGAGTGAGAGGGAGAGAGGAGCAGAATAAAATCTGCTGTATCTAAAACCGTTAGACAAGCTTTAATAGCAGTGAGTGCAGGACAGGAGCATGAGTGTATTCTGATAGGATTTCAGGTTGAATTTGAATAAAGCAAAGGCTTACTGTTGTGTACTTTACTAAAAAAAACTTGATTTGGTTAGTATTCAAAGTATCATATTTGATGCAATACTTCATAAAGTGCCAGTAGATTAGTTTCATGTATTTGCTGTTGCAATAAAAAGGTAATAGCAGTCTTCTGGCTTTTGTGGAAGTTTGTGTGACTTTGGGGATGTTATATCTGGTTCAAGATCTTATTTTTCCTTAATTTACAAATTTAGACAATTTAGACAATAACAGATAAGCTAATGAAATACTAAGATATCGTTACAAAATAACTAATGGCTACCCAGTGTATGCAAGCAACAACACAAATGTGCCAAAACTGCCTAGAGGCCTCATAAGGCTGGGCCCAAAAACGAGCCACGTCAAAATGTCCAGATAGACTGCAAGAAAGTGCACGGTAACAAAAAATAGTTTGGGACTTTTGTGGGAAGTGAATGTGTATTTTAGTTCAACCGTGTGAATATTACTAAATTTTAAAATGGGATGTTTGTCATCAGCCCTCCACTGATTCAACTCACTAAGCTCTAACTCTCCACTGTGTTTGTGCTGTTGGTGCTTTCTGGCATGTCTGACTAATAATGTTGTTGTGAGTAAAATTCTAATATTTTATTAAAGATTAACAGATGTGTGTCTGTGTTGCACCTGCACAGTTTATGAACTAATCAGTTTAGGTAGCGTTAGCTGCTAACTTGGACTGCACCAGCCCATCCAAAAGTAGTCCAAAACACAACATAGTGGTGGCCAAAGTGCTAGTGTAGAGCCTTCAGGCCTGCAGAGTTTAAACCAATCAGTGATGTCACTGTGGCCATGTCCATCTTTTGTATACAGTTTATAATTTTTGGAAATGAAATTACTCTTTTCTCCATACAGATCTTTTAGCTGCATGGAACAAAGGTTTATCCAAACATAAGTCAGCGGCATTCGGACTATAAGCAGACCACAGATGCATATTCATATAAAGATATATACTTATAAAGATTGAGGATGTTGGTCTTATGGTAATCAGTCACTTTTACCCAGAGTACAACTAATTCCACCTTGCAGGGTCATAGTGGAGCTGGGGGCTATCCCAAGGGACATTGGGTTAGAGGTGGGATACACCCGGAAGTGTCACTATAAGTCTAATCACAGCTCCAACATAGAGATACAGACAAACCATTCGCATACAGATTACAATCGATGTAGAATTGATAATTAGCTGAACATGGACATCTTTGGAACAAGGAGGATGAAGCACTAGAAAAGAATCCACAGAGACATATTGAGGACAAGCAGATTTTACAGAGAAAGGCACCAACCAACTGTGTGACCTTAAACTCTAAACAGGAAATCTGACAAACTCTACTGTCCCAATTCATTCATTTTTAAGAGGAAGTGGGAGCATAAGGTTTAAGAAGAGCAGGCCTGCGCTAATCCCTCCCTCAGCTGCCTGTGTATTATTGCATAATAGAGTAAGATTGGAATTATACGGATTCTTATGGGTAATAATCCCCATGCATGGGTTTATCCCCTCTGTCTGGCATCGGCCTGATGTTAAAAATTCTTTAAATTCGCTGGGCTATTAGTGACTTCACCGACAGATTGCTTGGGCATCACTCCTGAGTCGTTGTTTAACCCTGAAAGTTGAATTATTGGACAGA